CAGTGAGTACTTCATTCGATTGCTACTGACATAACAGGACTTGGGGGTTCCAGACTAAAGTCTCAGCACTCCTTTTGACTTCAAAGGTAACATTTAAATTCCTAAAGTTCAACATACAAAATCTAGCTTTCAAGTCTGGTGGTCGTACCTCAACGTATTACCAATAAACAACATGGCTGATATGATAATTTCATTTCTTTAAATATTGTTTTTTTCTCATTAAAAATCCCTGAGAATCAATAAACAGATTTAGAGATAAATAAAGCAGCCGTTACATAATAAATGAAGTAGGTTATTACAAATATGAAGTTTAAAAATCATAAAGGGTTCTCTACAGGTGCTAATTTTACTACTTGAATGAAATTAATAAGACTCTCCATAAAACAGCAGGAGATCCTTAGATTACAGGAGTAATCAGCAAAAAAATTTACTGTCGATTCATGAAGCATGAAATGTTTGTGTAATGTATGCAAAAGTGGTACTTTATTCTCTGCAGAGAACAATTCTGAGTCCTTACCATAGAAAAATATTTAATAGTTTGAAAACTCTTGTTGCATAGTTTTAAAAAGTTGTTCAAGTGTGATTAATTCAACTCAATACAAACTAATAGTGAATGAAGGACCACCTCATTTTAAAATTTAGTAGGATCTATTGTTAAAAGAACTATTTACAGTTAAATGAAGGCTATATAGACAACTGAAAATCCAACTTGGTGTCTACAGAAATAAGATTTAGGAGAGTAACTCTTACAAATTTGGTAGCACAGTAACCTGAAAAGCTAAATTATTTTTGTATCTGATATTCTGAAAGCAGTATATAGGTGAGTGGTAAATTTAGCATTTGAATATAAAAATATTAAAATTATTTCATGCAAATGTACCCATTCCGATTCTTTAAGGAATGTTTCAGGTTATTATGCAAGTAGAATGTTCTATTTGCAAAGCATATTTAGTTGTATAGGTATCAATGGACTTCTATCACACACCATTTCTCGGCTGCTTTATGTACAACGTATTTCTTTACATGACAACTTATCAGTGAAAAACTCATGTATGTTTTATGAAGCAGTTCATATGAGGAAGTTCTAATAGTAGTCCCAGAGAGGAAATTCTATCCCATTTGTGCTATCAAATTCTCCACAAATTATGCCCTCTAAAATACAGTGTATAGCCCAGGTTTTATCGCTTTTCAGAAATCTATTTTATTGCTATGCACTATAAAATCAGGAATTTGTGTTCAATACTTTACATTTAATATTTATTGATTGCTGTAATTAATTGCTTTTGTTTCATACTTTTGAGTTTAATTAAGTGGACTAAAAGTGTCAATAAACTGCAGCTGTTCAACTGACTCACAGTTGAAACTAAATAATACTTGAGCTTGACTAGTTATTAATGTTCTGTCAATGAAATAAGCAGGGGGACTGCAAGGGTCAGGGAATTAGTAACAATAACAGAACACAGAGCCTTTCATTTTTAGACTAACTGTCCCAGCTCAGCCTAGATTAACAGTGCCTAAAATGATTGCAGTCTAAGGGTGCTCAGTTACTTATGTCGCACACGTTACATGAAATCAGATAACCAATAACAGCTTAGTTTCTGCTGTCCACACCACAAGAACCATCAGCAAGTGACATCCTGTGCAAAGTATGCTTACCAAGGATGCTGCACAAAGACATCACCTGTTTCTGCTCATGTCCTGAGCAGAGATGAGCAAACTGTGCCTAACCTCTGAACTGACTGAAAGCCACATAGCTGTGTTAGTATAGGGCTAACCCGAAGAGAACTTATCCCATAGAGAGGCAACAAATAATGAGCTGGCTCTTGTGAGCAAAAACACTTGTTCATATGCTTTTCGGGTTGGAATCTGCAGGCCTATAGTGTGGGCAACAACAGTATACAATGTGGATATATCCATTGGCAGTTCAGTACAGTCTTTGTGCCAAGTAATCTTGGGGACTGATCTGCACCATGAGCTCTGTAAGTGTTCTCCCCATTACAGGGCTAAGGCCAGGCAACATAAATAGACTAATCGCTGCAGAATGTGCCATACTAGAAAAAAAGGAAGACATTCATTTCCAAACTTTGGCACTTCAAGAATATTATACTAAAACATACTCAGAGAAAGAGGCTATCCTTGTTCAAGTAAATTTGGGTATCTTCTTTCACGTTAATAGAAATTCGCAGTGACAGAAAAAACCTGGCCCAGAACATTTATTAAAATCCAGTTTCCTTACTTAAAATATGACGCATATTAACAGATGTTACTAATTCTAGCATAGATATATATTTATTTCCAATCTATTTTATGCAGGTTCTTCTACAGTCATCACTTGTATCTCATCTGAACACCTATTGTTTTTAATATCTAACTGGTTAACATACGCTAAATTGTGGATGCCCACAAACTGTCCATCACTAACCAGGAGGCTTAAAACAAAACTTCATTCGTCAGTGTTGCAGGCTATCCACAAAAGTTGCAGGCATCATTATAGGTACCAACATCAGCTGCTAGCACACCACCCTTTCCCAGACCTTCACTGTTTTCCTTTCCTGTGCAAGGCAATTTGTCATTGAAGAGCTTCCTTTCAAACTTCCCAATGTCTCCCCTTATCTAAAGACAGCATTCAGCTACAAATGTCCCCAAGGCACTTAATTCTGAAAAAGCTGGCTGATCTGGCTCTCAGTGTCTTGCGGCACTCTCAGAAATTTGGAAATTTTCTTTTTTGCCAGGGGTTAGTTTCTCCTTGCCTCATGTCTTCAAATACCCTGTCATACTATATCTCCTTTTAAAAGGACGTCAGCCTTATATTTCACCTCCTATACACACACACACACAATATGTATATGTGCCTAGGTTCACCAGATCTCATCTGATGCAATTTTCCTGTACTCCCTTTTAACCATTTTCTCCCTGACTGGAGGCAAATCTACCTCACTAATATTCATTTTACTATTCAAGTACACACACACAAATCTTGTGTTCTGGGCAATTAAATTTAGACCACGTTCAATAATAAAGCACAAAATTTGCATTAGATAACATGTGAAAAGATAGATAACACAGAAAGATAAGATTCACTTATTGGCAAAGGATTTCTATTTTGGAATAATGTTTATTTTTTTTCATATTCTCTGGAAATACAAATGCTAGACATGAATCATGCCCTTTAGCATATTTTCTTCGGTTTTCTGAGGCTAGATCAGATGGAACATTTCATCAGAATCCCTGAAATCATGCAAACAACAAACATGAGCATCTGCATTTTAAGTATTAACTGCTAAAGCACCATGAAAACCTCAGCACTGGCAGATTTGCTCTAACACCTGTGCCAAAGGGTGGCCTTCATATTCTTTCCCTTGAAAGCATTCTGCACAAGAGATGAATGTGAAATTCAGCTTTCACAGACAAGATACATATCCAGAAATGCCTTAATATAGTTTCATTTGATCCTGATAAGGATCACAGTAATTTCTATGCTACCAATTTAGATATGAATTAAAGAGAATATTCAGTAGCCTAAATTGCAAGTAACTATATCCTCACTTCCAAAAACATATCTTTGAAACCTATTAATGGTAGTTCAGCATCCACAGAGGTGATATTAATTACAAGCAAACACACACACACTCTGCATAATGATGGGTCAGCTCCATCCTTTAACAGCCCATTGCACCATGACTGATCTTTATCTCTTAGCTTGTTTGGGCACATCTTTATCCAGGCACTTGGAGAAAGCCAGGCCACATTCGAAAAAAAAAAAATTGCATTTAATCACAAAGCCTAAAATATCTATATTAAATGCCTGGCCAGGCTGCACAGTTTTATCCACTTTGCAGACTTCTCACAAGTTTTCAGAAATCTCTAAGCTGGGCAATGTAATACAAGTAAGTGCAAGGTTTCCTGTGCTTGAGTCTAGCCAGCGTGGTAAATCTCAAAAAGGTATTCACTTAGTGCTGCACCCAAACTCCTCCCCCTGAAAAATGCCTGGGAAGAGGACAAAGAGACAGCCAAACGGCATGTACAGTGCCCCTGAGAAAGATCAAGACTTTAAAAGTAACAGTAACAGCAAAATCATGCAGACAAAACCTGAACTGTGCACATAAGGTAAGAACTGGAAAACAATTTATACCTTGGCAAGGCTGCAGCTTCAGTTTCTCCTTTTCCTGCCCCTTCTACCAAATATCAAGGCTTTTGTGTGTATGGTGTGGTCAAATTAAAAACTGTACAAGCACTTTAAAGAAAAGAAAATAGGCCTAAGGGCTGAGGATTTTAGAAGCAGCTGGAGATTCCAGTCCCAAAAATCCCCAGGGCCACTTTGAAATTCTCAACCTAAATGTTTAGCTGAATTACTAGCTGCTTTTCTTTCAAATTGCAAATCCCAGTTGCTCTCAGAATTTCCTAATGCATAACACGCTTATCCATGAAACATAAGCTGCGGTTAGGATGAAACCTTTGCCCTGCGTTCTCTCCACAGATAAGAACTGCCTGTCAATATATGATAGCACTGTTACCGTTCAATTCATATTGCATGCAGGAATCCCAGTACTTCAGGACGTAGGAGGCTTCAGAAACCAGCTTTTTAAAGCATCTTCAATGAACTGCAATGTAAAAAGCATTGTTGGTCTATTTCGAGTTTTTTAATATGATGTCAAAGACTGTGAGGCAGTCAGAAATACAAAGCGCTGTGGAAAGGAAGCAGGCATTCTAGATAAAAGTACTTAAGATTAATTTAACATGCACAGGATTTCCCAATTAAAATTTTCACATTAGCGCTGCATTTTAAACAGTTAATCTCCTAATGAGACATCCCCAGCAATGAGAAGTGAATTGCAGGACTGAATATGGCCCTGAGGCCTGCATCTGGAAAAGGCTGTAGTTTGTAGATGCTGGATTCATGCTACTTTGTCAAATCCTGAAAAGAAAGAGCTGCACTGCCACCTACTGTCACTATGTTGTCTTTTCTTATCAGGAGCTGCCACTTAAAGAAATTCCACATGCTCTCACACAAAATGTTGAAAGCTGTTAACCGAAACACATACGAAAGAAAATGGTATTACTTAATTTTTCACACACACAAACATTGGATGATTTTTAATTCTGGTAGTTCTGCAAGCTGACTGTTTCTTCATCCCTGTCTTTTCTTCATAATATAATAAAAAGAGAGAAAGAATACCACGCTGAACAAAGTGGGATAGCCTATGCTAAAGCCTCTGATTTTTCTACTTCTCTTATTCCCAGCTCTCCACTGTCATACCTTTGAATCCTGGCTGAGGAAGAGCAAGACCTGGAGTCATCTCAACTAATGATACTCTGTGACTGACTCATCAAAAAGAGGTATGTTACGGCTGACTTCTTCCTCTTCCTTAGGGGCCAAAAGCATTACCTCTGTGATGTGCCTGATCTCCGAGAGTCTAGATGCGAAGGAGTCTCTAACATAGCAGCCCACGGCAGTGCTGTGGAGATACTAGCTTAATTGAAAACAAAATTTTACTGCAGTTTCCTCCCAGGGTCTTTTTTGACAGCTGAATTTGCAAATCAATTAACATATTGAGAACAGCTACTCCCTTTCCTAGTAGAGATATTCACTACCAATTGCTCATGAAATTTTCATAACTAGCAAAAAACAAAAGGAATTAATATTTCAGAAGGCAAAGAAAGAAACTTAACTGATGCTGAAATAGGGAGGATAGAACACCAGGATTAAAAAAAAAAGTCAGCTATGCTATCTAACTTCAACAACCATTTTCTAGGATTTAAGATACTGTAGCAGAGAACTGGGTGTTTTCTGTGGTTACTGTAGCTCTTTTCCTTAACTTCATATGTAAATAGCATTAAAGACGGACAAGGAAAACCCTATCCTTGTATTTGGAGCTGTTTGGTAACATTAAAGCACAGACCAGTCTGAGCTGCTGCCAGCAAAATCACAGCGTGACATATCATCTGAAAGTACCCTGGGGGAAAAAAGTCTCTAATTCAGAGTGTGTCAAAGGTGCCTCAGATGACTCAAGTGGGGAGCACACGCTCAAAGAAACGCACCCTTCTGACATTGCCATCAAAATAAATCCAAAAAAATCCCTAAAATAGCTTAATTGCATTCTGTAAAGAATGGATTTTTTTTCAAATTTTTGTAATAGAAGTGATTTGTTTCAACTACAGAAGTGGTGAAGTTCACTTGTTTAATAACTGGAAAAAAAGAAGTCTGGATATCCTGACACTATCTCTTCTCCCCTGCCTTCAGGCCTAGCAGTACTCCACATTTCAAGTACAATACAAGACAGCTACTAAATTTGTGTGTCTCCATTCTTTGTCTTTTCAGAGAAAGATAATATTGTCATGGCACCAAAGGGCTTATGCGTTTGGATCCTAGAAAAGAGTTGTTTCTTTTGAAAGGCATAAATATAATACAATCATTCTTGAGAAAGCGTAAGTCTCCAGACGTTTGCACATGAAATGTCTCCTTTCACTTTTCATTTATCAACAAAGTACTTCTGAAGAATTAATTATTTTAAGAAATTCAGTTCCATCTTTTGTCTTAAAAACAAAACATTGTATTTATCTGTTCATTATTTATCTGCTGTAAGGCTTTTACTTCAGATAAATTGAGAAGTTTTGTTTCCATTATACAACAGTGCTGACAGAGCTTAGAAAAAACAAATATATTTTTGCCATCTTTATAGAAATTCTACTTTTTTTCCCCACTGGAAATTCTTAAAACATCTTCCTTGCAGCAATGACCTATGTGTTAATTTTTATATGGCATACTTTTTTAGCATTAACAAAAGAATTTTAAGGCATATATTCTCTTTAAGCATGGAAGAAGTAGCATATATAGCAAAAGTACGGAAAGAAAAGAATCACCATATTATATAGGAACTCTCAGTTACTTGGAGATTCAGGTCGATGGAAGGTAGGTAAGCTTTTACAGTTCTACCTTTCTCTAGGGAAACTATCGCACCTCATGCATGCTCCCTTGGATCAAAATAGGATTGCAGCAGGATTTCCTATTCAGAAGTTGATACCTGTTGAGGAATTTATTTTTAATGTTTCCTGGTTATTTTGGCTTTAGCTTATTAAATAAATTGAATGGATGATCTAATTTGGTAGGAATGATTAAATATTATATTTAGCAAAGAATACTGTCACTCATTTTCTACCAGATGTTCTTTATATTTTCCACTTTTATGTTCTTGTGTGGGATCTTCAAGGAAAGAAAACAAATAAAAAAGGGTATGCTTTCAATTTCAAGTATTAGTATAAAAATGCAGTTCTGTATCCTGAATGCTTTACAAACAGGCTTCTGTGTTTTGATACACCAGAAAGCTGTAGAGCCATTCAGAGGGACCTGGACAGGCTGGAGAGATGTGCAGAGAGGAACCCCATGAAGTTCAACAAAGGCAAGTGAGGTCCTGCACCTAGGGAGGAATCCCATGCACCAGTATAGGTTGAGGGTTGACCTGCTAGAAAGCAGCTCTGCAGACAAGGACCTGGGAGTCCTGGTGGACAGCAAGTTAACCATGAGGCAGCAATGTGCCCTTGTGGCCAAGAAGGCCAATGGTCTCCTGGGGTGCCTTAGGCAGAGTGTTGTCAGCAGGTCGAGGGAGGTGAGGTGATCCTGCCCCTCTGCTCAGCCCTGGTGAGGCCACATCTGGAGTACTGTATTCAGTTCCGGACTCACCAGTACAAGAGAGACATGGCACTACTGGAGAGAGTCCAGTGGAGAGCTAGGAAGATGGTTAGGGGACTGGAGCATCTCTCCTATGAAGAAAGGCTGAGAGAGCTGGGACTGTTTACCCTGAAGAAGAGAAGATTGAGGGGGGATCTGATCAATGTTTACAAATATCTCATGGGAGGGTGTCAAAAGGATGGGGGCCAGACTCTTCCCAGTGTGTCCAGCAACAGGACGAGAGCCAACGGGCATAAACTGAAACACAGGAAGTTCCGCCTGAAATGAGTAAAAACTTCTTTCCTGTGAGGGTGACAGAGCACTGGAACAGGTTGCCCAGAGAGGTTGTGGAGTCTCCTTCTCTGGAGATATTCAAAACTCACCTGGACGCGATCCTGTGCAATGCGCTCGAGATGACCCTGCTTGATCAGGGGGGTGGGACTAGACGATCTCCAGAGGTCCCTTCCAACCTTGGCCATTCTGTGGTTTTAGTTCAGCTTCTGATCTCTGTGATGGTTAGAAAAAAATATAAATCCACTGAGGAGCTGAAAATATTCCTAATATATAATGTATTTTTAAGGAAGAAATGAAAGGAAGGAAAAGAAGAATTCAGGTTAATTCTAGATATAGAAATAAATAGTTTTGTTAAAGTAATGCTTTAGCTTTGCTAAAATAATGTCTTTAAGTAGAGATGGCTAAGCTTAAACCATCACAGTTTATGGCAACGTGCCTTTTTTCAGGTAAAGTCACAGAGAGTTGCAAGGGTACAAACGAATTGTTCTTGACATTCAAAAGAACAAAGATCTGCAGTAAGTGCACTTCATGTTTTCCAAACGGTGGAATAGTGGTGCAAAGCAATACATTGAACATACTTGTGAATATCTGACAACACGTGTGGAACCTACTCTAAATGAAGGCAGTTTCTGCTCAAAAGTTCTTCCAGTCAAAAAAACAGAAAGAAGCTGAGAAAAATAGACTACTGTTGAGCTGAGTAAAGCTGAGACAAAATAAAATTGGAATTAGTTATCCTCATACAAGGGAATTACACACTGATTACACTTTCAGAGTAATTGTGCCTGTTTTACAGCAGCAGTTCTTGCACAGTCATCTATGGAGTACTGCTGCTGAATGCAAGTGATCCACAGAGCGTTCTCCATGAAATCCTTAACCTAAGTGAAAGAACACAATTGGATTTGAATTTATTCTGATGATTATATATAGTCAACAACCAGACTTTTTGTAGGATTTACAGCTATATTTTTATGTAACAAAGTTTATTTTCCTCTTTTTAGGGTAAGCAGTGGTGTCTGGCTAAACACAGAACACTCATTTCTTGCTGACTGAATTAAATTATTTCAGATTTGGTATCAAGTTAACCCACTTCATTTTGTGAGACACTTTCTCCCACAGCTCTATGGAGTTGTATGGGACCAATCAGGTACGCTGTCTCTTAAGGTTTTGCAACTCATGGCTTAGGATGCCATAGCTGCTTTATTAAGCATCTCCTCCATTAAGGCAAGCTATGACTGTTTACTTGACATTTGAATTATTAAGCTTCTGGCTGATGTCTCAGCCCAGTGAAGAGGATTTTAAGAATGTTGCAAACTGAAAGATCTCTTGGGCTAAAAAATTTGCTACAGTATTCAAACAAGAAAAAGAAGGGAGTCAGAGGCTCTGAAGATATCTTTCTCTCCTAAAATAAAGCTAAATATTTCATAATCCACAACACAATGAGGTTAAGTAAGGTAGGAGCCCACTTTCATGTGCTTGAGAAACACGCATGTTAAGGTTATTTCTGTTTCATGAACTAGTCTTGGATGAGCCATCTTCCATCCAAAGTGCATTAATGGAAGCCCCTGTACCCAAGGAATTATGGCAACTCGATTGGGTTACAAGGCGTGAGAATTTTTAGATGAACCATGACCAGGATTCACAGAGTACCAAAGATTGTAAATTAGTAGGACAAGCTCTTTTTGCCTCATTCTTCAACCTTAAAACTGTTCAGTTTTTATTGAAGGAATGAAGTAAACGTTAAGAAGGCTTGCCAGGATTTCTTCTAGAAAGATTAGCCCCTTTCTTTGATCATTCAGCCGGAAAGACCACAGATGCTTTCTGCTGTGCCATATCTATTAGTGAAGATAAAAGGTATCAAGTCACACTTTCAGATTTCTCTAAGTATGTGCTTCACAAGAGTTTCAAAGGTTGTGTTTCGGAGTTAATCCACAACAGGAAACTAAAAAAGAAATAACCATCAAAAATAAGAAAGTGATAACATATGTACTGTCACTTGCAAGACAAAAATCTTGAAACATGCACTTGTCATTTTACACTTGACAATGGAAAACTCAGAGTTCAAGGTGATGTGAAAAGCCACATATTGACAAAGATACCTTTCTTTCAGCCTTTGCAGTAAAATGTTCGTAGAGTTTTACTGAGAAACACAATTGAGAAAATGTTACGTTATTTCAAGGGCATCGCTCTTCTGAGCTGCTGCTGCAGTGGGCTGAGTGAACCTAAAGGCTTCCTATGCCAGAGGGCACAACAGAGGCCAGAGCAATTCAATGGTACTGGCTGAAAAGGGAACAAGATACATTGGCAAACACATAGACAAACACGCATCTAAAGAACGTAGGTGGAAATGAAGCTGTTTGGTCTGCTGGCAAGAACTCCA